GAAGGATTTTTGGGGGGGCACCCAAACTCTGAGGTCCCCTGGAGGATTTGGGGGGGCACCCAAACCCCTGGGTCCCTTTTGGGGAGGGGGGGGTCACCCAAAAACATGGGTCCCCTGAGGGATTTGGGGGGCTACCCAAACCCCTGGGTCCCCTGGAAGGATTTTGGGGGGGCACCCAAACGCCCGGGTCCCTTTTTGGGGACAGGGGGGGTCTCACCTGGTCGCTCCTCGCGGGCCGGGGGCCCTTCGGCCTCGGGCTCCCTCTGGCCGGGTCCCTCCTCCTCCTCCCCCTTCCTGGGCCCTTCGGCCTCGCTGCCATCGCCCGGGGACGGTGGCACCTCGGGGACAGGGGGCTGTGGGGACACAGCGGGGGGGTCAGTGGCACCCCAAATGCTGGGACATCACACACACACATCCCCCCACCCCCCCGGAGTGACAGGGGGGGACACGGGGACAATTTGGGGGGAGGGGAGGGGAAATGACACGGATGGGGACGGGGTGGTGACAGGGAGGACACGACTGGGGACAGGGATGGAGGGGGACAGGTAAGGACAGGGATGGGGACAGAGAGGACAGAGAGGGGACAAGGAGGACAGGGATGGGGACACGATTGGGAATAAGGATGGGGAAGGGGACAGGGAGGACACAACTGGGGACAAGGAGGACACAGGGGACACAATTGGGGACAAAGATGGGGAAAGGGAGGACAAGATTGGGGACAGGGAGGACATGGGGGACACAATTGGGGACAGGGAGGACACGGGGGACACAATTGGGGACAGGGAGGACACGGGGGACACGTCTGGGGACAAGGATGGGGAAGGGGACAGGGAAGACACGATTGGGGACAAGGAGGACACAGGGGACACGATTGGGAACAAGGATGGGGACAGGGATGGGGACAGGGAGGACACGATTGGGGACACGATTGGGGACAAGGATGGGGAAGGGGACAGGGAGGACACAATTGGGGACGGGGAGGACACAAAGGACACAATTGGGGACAAGGATGGGGACAAGGAGGACACAATTGGGGACAGGGAGGACACGGAGGACACGATTGTGGACAAGGATGGGGACAGGGAGGACACAATTGGGGACAGGGAGGACACGGGGGACACGTCTGGGGATAAGGATGGGGAAGGGGACAGGGAAGACACGATTGGGGACAAGGAGGACACAGGGGACACGATTGGGAACAAGGATGGGGACAGGGAGGACACAATTGGGGACAGGGAGGACACAGGGGACACGATTGGGAACAAGGATGGGGACAGGGATGGGGACAGGGAGGACACGATTGGGGACACGATTGGGGACAAGGATGGGGAAGGGGACAGGGAGGACACAATTGGGGACAGGGAGGACACGGGGGACACGATTGTGGACAAGGATGGGGAAAAGGAGGACAAGATTGGGGACAGGGAGGACATGGGGGACACAATTGGGGACAAGGATGGGGACAGGGAGGACACAAGTGGGGACAAGGAGGACACGATTGGGGACAAGGATGGGGAAGGGGACAGGGAAGACACGACTGGGGACAGGGAGGGGGACAGGGAGGACACGCCTGGGGACATTCCTGTCACCCACCTCCGTCTCCATCTTCTCGGGGCCTTTGGGCTCCTTCTCGTCCCTGGTGTCACCCTCGTCCCTGTCCGGGGGTGGCCCCGTCCCGTCCCCGCGCTCGCTGGGCGCCGGCGTGGCTGGGGACAGGGGACGTTGGGACACGGGGACACCAGGTGACCCCGCCACCCTGCCCGCGTCCCCGTGTCCCCTCTGTCCCCATCCCTGCACCCCTGGGGCCCCACTGCCCTTGTCCCCCGTCCCCTCAACATCTCCATCCCCACACCCTGTCCCCATGTCCCCGTGTCCCTGTCCCCCATCTCCCCCCATCCCGTCCCTGTGTCCCTGTCCCCATCCTGTCCCTCATGTCCCCCCATCCTGTCCCCTCCTTCCCCTGTCCCCATCCCTGTGTCCCTGTCCCTGTCACCGTCCTGTCCCCATCCCCATCCCGTCCCTGTCCCCATCCCTGTCCCCATCCCACCACCTGGAATCGC